CTGGGTGCAGCTCACTGGTAGCTGTCACGACACCAGTTAGTTCATGTTAGCTGCACCCCAGCAAAATCAGCATGGACGAATGAGAGTGACCACTGGGCGAACTCCTTTTTGCCTGATTTACAGACATTCAGAAGGACCTGGAACCCTGAATTTCTTGGGTCTCCTGCCTGCCCCACTCTCTCCCCAGTCCTTGTAAGGAATCCATTCTCCCCCGCCTTGGGTCAACGTACATCTTTTATTGGTTTCAATGTCGTCAGCCTTAGAAATTCTCTGCCAAAAATAATGCTAATTTTTCTTCAACATGCAAATTCTCACACATATTCAGAGGAGAAAAGCTGCCTTCCATGACTGTGCGCATGAAGCAGAGGGGAGGAGCAGAACAGCCCTTCGCCCTGGAGCACCATTCATTCACTCATTGTCCAATTATTTATCGAGCATCCTTTCTGTACAGGGCCCGTGCTAGGCCTTGTGGACACCATGGAGAATAAGAGAGAGAACGCATATCTTTTCTGGGAATGCTGTTTTAAAATACTCTGTCATATTCTCCATGAAAATAAACTCACATCTGCTAGACCTCTATCTGAAACCGTGAGTTTGGAGACTAGAGTGACATATTTACTCCTCTCTATTTTCTCCTTTCATGTGCTCTCATTCCCACCCTCCTACAGGCCTTATCTGGCTTCAGTGGATCAGTCTGTCAGTAGACTTGAGAACAGGGGCCCGTGCATCATTATCTATTTCCCTAAAATGCTTTGTCACTGACTTTTGGGAAGATAAGACTGAGGGCAGCCATATCCCCCAGTGGCAAAAAGTGTGGAAGCATCGGTCACAATGTCTTACGGCCTGTAACCAGGTGACAGATCTCTCGTGTCTTTTTCACAAGCTCAGGTTATAAGTTTCATTGGCAGATACCATCCATTTATTTAAAAAAAAATAATCACCAAATGATAGAGATAGCAATGTGGATTCATGTGGGACAGAAACTCTGTAAGTATCTCAGAAGGAGCAATGGCTCTGAATCAGTGTAATCCGCACATAGTTTCATTTTCATGCAGACATTCCCAAACTCCAGGGGCTTGGCAGCAGTAGTTGCTACATGTGGGTCTTTCCTGAGGTTCAAGCAGACAGTTAGATGAATATTCAATTAAATATGTTTTCCAGCCTCAGGCAGACCCTCAGGGCAGCCAGGCCATCCAACATTGTTTCACAAACAAGTGTCTCCTTTTCCCTGAGATGGCTATTTCAACCTTTCTTCATTCTCCTGAAACAATTGAACTCTTAGCTCTCCCTTCACTTCCTACTCAACAGAAAATATGGAGAAGTAATCAGATGAAAATTCCTTCAGCTTTCTGCCTGTCTCCATGCCTACCCGTCCTGTCCCTTTCTGTTCCTAATGGAAGAAGCGTCCGCTCCTCCCATCTAAGGCTGAAGCTGCATCCCGCACTCCACCCTCTCTGGGCTGCTCAGGGACCACACATTGATCATCATCCTCTCTGCTGGCTTCTTTCCACTCGTCTTTACACATACTCCGATTTCTCCCATTTATTAAAACAAGTCTCTGTCTATCCCCCATGATCCACTTCCTGCCCCTCTCTCTCCTGTTCATAGACACACTTCTTGAAAATGCGTCCTCGTTTGCTGCGTACACATTCTCAGCTCCTTCTAACTCAGTCTAACCCATTGTAGTCTGGCTTCCATGACTCCACTGAAACTGTTTTGGAAAAGGTCTGTGTTACTCATACAAGGGTGTGTAGGGGAGCAGAATTTGCCACCCCAAAATGTGACTCTTTCACTTGAGGATTATTTTGAGCTGATTATTTTGAAGAACAAAAGACTCAGGAATAAAGTCTTTGAACTTCCCCCTAACTGCCTAAAAGAATTTAAGACAGAAGGCCTGTTTCAGGAAGGAGCTGTCACCATGGATAACTATAGTATAATATGTACTAGGTGTGGTAGACAGGGAGGAACCTAGCAAGGCCCATTTGATCAAAGTCCTCTCCACGTCCCATTGTCTCTGCAAGGCAATTCAGACAAATGTCTACAAAACATTTGCTTTTCCATCTCCATGTGAATTGCCTTCCTCTCCTTTGAAGTCCCAAACGACTACCCCCAACATCCTCCTGTGTCTTTAGCTGAAGATGATATTTAAGGTGGTGACTTTGGTGAGTTACTCAATTTTCCTGGGTTTCTCCCATCTATACGTATTATTAAACTTGTTTGACTTTCTTTCATTATTCCATCTCATGTCAGTTCAAGTCTTAGACCAGCCAGAAGGACCTAGAAGGGTAGAAGAAAAGTTCTTCCTCCCCTACACGTGCAACTAATCTCCTCTTCCTCTGACACCCACTGCCCCTTCAAACCTGCTCTCTGGGGCTAGTTTTTCTATACCCTTTGGATGAATCTAGAATAGATAGGTCCATGACTCTTCTGACTACTCTTAAATAATAAGAACCCCTCCGGTCATTCTGAATTTCACAAACATCTTGATTTCCAATACTAAAATGTCTGGTCTAACTTTTATTTAATGTTAACTCTTCTCCCCTCCCTGAGCTCAGGGCAGCTCCTGGTGGGAAGCCTGTTTGGGTAAGGGGCCATGGTTGGCTGCTCTTCTCCTTACTTGGCTGACAATCCCTTACCTCCCTTCCCCACTCCTAGACTTGAAAGCAGCAGATTCTTCTCCCTCACAGATTGGAGTGAGGAGAGAGAGAGAGAGGTAAAAGTCAGCAAAAATCTCACTTTGCTCCAACGATGGATTGCCAATGTTTTTATCTGGATGCAGCGGGTACTTCAGTCAGACCCTCTCTCTTGGGGCCCTTGGGGGATTCCTTGAAGTCTTCCTTGCAGGGATCCCTCTTCTGCAGTTCCCTTGAATGGACAAATGCATCTCTGGCTGGTTATTTAGGATCCCCCACCCCCACCCCACCTCCATAGCCAGAAGTACTTCAGAATACCTCTGTCTTCTTTCTCCTCTCTTCCCACCCCCAGAGGCCATCCTGAGGGGAGTTTAAGAAGCCCTGCAGGCCGTCTCCTTTGGCCCACATGTGGTTCATGGAAGTACTCTTCAAGCCTTGGCTCTGACAAATCCTAGGAGCATGGACTGTCAGACACCGCCACCTCTCCTGGCTCTGCCCACACACCAGGAGGCTCTGGCCAGAGCTGCCTGCCTTAAGATGCCTTAGCATGTGACAGTTAAGTCCTCTGTGTCTTACAAGCTACAGGGGACACATACCAAGCTCTCCAAGTGGTTGCATCAAAGGCCCGCTCACTTGATTGAGTAAAGTAGGGAGAGCACTTCCTTTTCTCCCTCACCCCCACTTATGACTTGCAGCATACAGATGACTCTTCAGAAAACACCTCTCGTCTCTCTCAGACTCTTTAACCTCTTGTATGGGGTGATCAGCTAATGGTCTAAAAAGCAAAATTTCTAGACACCTCCTTTGCAAGCCCAGCATAGGTATCTAGAACCTCACTGTGAAAAATGAGAGTCCCATTTAATGTTCCCTTGCAAACACATCTCAACTTTTGTCTTATTCCACCTCTCAGCACATATAACCAGTCCTTATTTCCTGAAACGCCTTTTTTTCCCTTTAGCTTCAATGACAGCAAGTCTCCTGTCTTTCTTCCCATTTCTTTGGCTGGTGCTCCTGATCTCCTCATTTTGCCTTCCTATGCTTCTCAGCAGCTGGCACCACCACCTGTCCTGTGGCCCAAGCCTCTTGGAGGGGTCCTTGACCACCTGTTTCCCTAATCTTCCCTCATCCAGTTCATCACCTGTTGAGCTGACTTCCCAAAGTCCACTTCTCTCTCCCCTACTGCCCCTCATCCAGGCCAGCATCATTTCTCCTCTGGATATGCCACCACTTCCCACTGGTCTCTCTTCCTCCTGGCTTGCCCCCTTCTGATCAATTTCCACATTATCAGCATAAAGATCTTTTTACCATGCAAAGGTGATGGCCCTGACCTTCGAGCCCTTCTGCAGCTTCCTACGCCCTCAGAATAAAGCTCACCCTCGGTCCCATGGCTCACCTGGCCTTGAATGGCTTTACCTCTCCATGCCTCTCTGGTCTCATCTCTTACGACTTCCTATCACTGTGCCCTGTGCTCTCTGCTTCCTTCAGTGCTTGCAGCTCATCTTGCCTCTTAGGCCTTCACATCAGTATGCTACTTCCTTAATTTATGAAGATGCTCACCTCCTCCCCACCCTTGCAGGACTTCAAGTCTCATCTTCCTTTTCACTTCTTCCAGGAGGCCTTCTCCAAGTCCTTTATGCAAGTCAGTTATCCCTGTACGTATCCCTACCACAGACTGAACTTCCTCCTACATACCACTTGTCAAATTTTATTCTAATTTTTTTTTTTTTTTTTGATGTGGAAGATTGGCCCTGAACTAACATCTGTGCCAATCTTTCTCTATTTTATATGTGGGATACCACCACAGCATGGTTTGATGAGCAGCGTGTAGGTCTGCACCCAGGATCCGAAGCTGCAAACCTTGGGCTGCCGAAATGGAGTGCACGAACTTAACCACTATGTCGCTGGGCCAGCCCCTATTCTTTTTGTTGAATTGACTTCTCTGCTAGAGGGTGGCTTTGAGAAGGCAGGGACTGCTTTGTTCTCCGTTGTATGCCCACTGCTTAACACAGAGCTTTACATATGATAAGCAATCACTACATAATCAACTCAGCGAATGAACTCATAACGCAAGATTATAGAAAGTTTGAAAAATTGAGGCAAAAATCACCGTAATTCCGTCATTCTAATGGGAGCATTTTTGCCTATTTCTCTTTGTCCCCCAAACTCCCCCCCCCCCAAAATGCACACATTTTTAAAGAGTTGCAATCATGGTACACACACAACTTTGTATCCTGTTTCTAAAATTAAGTATTTTTCCTAAGCTACAGATAACAAAACTTAAGCTTTGGAGCTCATCCTTGTCCTGCAAATAGCACTAGGCTCTGATTTCCAGGAGCAACACAAGGCAGGGAGGAGAAAAAGAACATGTCAACTACAGAATTGCCTTTATTCTAGGTTGTGCTTGGCTTCTTTCAGACCCTGGGCCAGCGGGCATGGACTTTGTGTACGGCAGTGACTTGCAAGGCGGGCTTAGAACTGTACACAGTCTGTAACAAGAAAAAAATGTAAGGTAACTATGAAAAGAGTTTGATTCATCCTCTCTCTCTTCTAAAAGTAGAACGAAAAACAAACAAACGAAAAATCACTCACCAGCATAGATAGGTGCTTTCGTTATTAAACAGAGACTCTGGAGTTAAAGGGCCCTGGAATTTCAAGGTGCTCCACTGCCTCCTTGCTTTGAGAAAACTACTCGAACTCTCTAAGCCTCAGTTTCCTTATTTGTGTGATGAGGATAATAGCAGTGCCTGCCTCATAGTGGTGCTATAAAATTTAAATAAAATTATGATACGAAGTTCTTAGCATAGTGCCTGGTGCGTAATAAGTGCATAGTAAATGATGGTTATTTTAGTTTTTATTCATAAGCTGATGGACCTACCAGCATTCCTCAGGAAACTAATTAACCACTGTTAAATGAGTAAATCTCTGATGTTCTCACACTATGGAAAGCTCTACATAAAAATTGCCTGAGTGAAGAGCGGCTTGAACACAAATTGATGCCTGCTCTCAGTGTCACCTGTTCCTTCCCTGTCTGTTTGAGGCTTGTTTGTTAACCACGGTGGCATCACGTTATATGCGGCACATCTCTTGATTGGTGGACACATAGGATCAAGTCTTGCTGATCCTTAGTTTCATTTGCTCTGGTAAAAGACTGCTTGTCTCCAAACTTCCTCTCCAAACTGGGTGAAAACCCTACCTATCATTTTCAGTGATGCGATAATAGCCCCACAGACTGAAATATTCTTTATCTATATTAAGGATAGAGTAATCGATCAAATCTGAAATGTGTGCACACACAACAGAGTCTCCCCTTAGAATGGTTCTTGCTCCTTTAACATGGCTAGGTCAGTTTTCCATAAAATAAGTGTATTTTGAGATAGAGCTTGTGTGATGCAGTCTCTGCTTCAGCAGGGGGGAGAAAAAGGATGTTCCTTCCTTCTGCTTGGTTCATTCATTAAACGAACACTTACAGAGCAATTCCTGAGAGCCAGGCACGGTCCTGTGCAATACAGATAAAGGGATGCAGAGCACGGCCTCAGGAATCTCATAGCTGAGTGAGGGAGACCGATGCAAATTCAATAAACTCCGTTTACATGTGCTCAGTGCTATTTTCGGAGCTAGTATAAAGTACAAAGACAACCCAGTTGAGAATGCTATTAACTTATTTCACCAAATTTAATATGCCATCAATTACAAGATGCACCCCAATTTCAGAAATAATGTCTTAGATCAGGTTCTCTAGAAATAGACCCTGTCACCAACATTCATGGGCAAGTGATTTGTTAAGAAATAGCCACAGCTAACATTTTGTGGCCTTGTTTTTACTTGGTACATATGACACCCACTCACCATTCATTCATTCATTTACTCATTTTTCCAACAATTATTTACTGAGCTCTCTCAAGGAACTTACCTTCTACTGGGAAAATAGACAATGAACCAATAAAGCAAAAAATAAAATATCAGGTGGTGATGAGTTCCATGGTAAAGACAAAGCAGGGTGACATGATAGCAAGCAACATTTAGCCGAAACCTGAATGACAAGAAGAAGACAGCTTTGTGAGGATCTAAGGAAAAAACTGTTCCGGCAGAAGGAAGAGCTGGTGCAAAGTCTTTTTGCAAACTTGCAAAAGAAAATTTAAATTTCTTTAAAATATAAGTGCCTTTTAACCAGCCAATCCACTTCTAAGACTGCGCGTGTAAGTACACAGATGTATATAAATAGGTTTATATATATGCGGATGATTGCACTGTTGTTTTTAGTAGCAAATGACTGTAAACAATCTAATTGTCCATCAACAGGACTTTGTTAAATATTCATGGTGCTTTCATAAACTGGAGCATCTTATAGCTGCTAAAAAATGAGGTGGATTTCTCTCTGTGCACTGATGTGGAACGATCACTACGACATGTTTGTTCGCCAAAATAGAGTTGTATTAATACACACATCTTGTAGACTGCCTTTTTAAGTAATACCTGAGAAACACTTTTCCGTGTTCTGGAATGCTCTTCCGTAATGTCACGTGGAATGCTGCATGGTTTCCTTACCTTGGATGGACCATGGTTTATTTCATCAGCCCCTGTTGTTCACCATTTGGGTTGTCTCCAGTAGTTTTCTCTTATCAAAACTTTGTCATAGCAAAGCTTTGTATACATCCATGACTATGATTAGATCCTTAGAATATATTTCTAGAAGTGACATTGTGACATTTCTGGGCCAAAGGATGGCTTCAGGCTTATGACATATATTGTCAAATTGTCCTCAGGAAAATCACAACTAGTTAACTACATTCTACCAGCAACGTGTAAGTGTGCCAGTTTCTTCACATCTTATCAATGCTGATAGATTTTAGGAAAAGGTTACAATTTGACTAGCCACAAGTAACATTTCACTGTTTTAATTTGCACTTCCTTGATTGTTAATGAGGCCAAGCATTTTTAATAGACTGTTGACTACGTCTTCTTTTGTGAATCATTTGCCGTTTGTCAATTTTTAATTGGAATTCTACCCTTTTCCTATTTATTTGTAAGAACTATTTATATGCTAGAGGCATGAAAATTTGATTTGTCATTTACTTATAAATTTTTTTCCTGATTTGTCCCTTGCTTTTAAATATAGCTTATATTTAATTTTTTAAATATACATGTCACACATTTTTGAGAAGTTGATTCTGAGGTATTTTATATTTTTTTAAAATTTCTACCATAAATGGCACATTTTTCATTACATTTTTGAATTTGCTACTGCTAGGACAAGGTATTAAAATATGTATATTTATTTTCTAACCAACCATATCTTTTATATTATTTTCTTTTCCAATAGACTCTCCTTGGTTTGTGGTGTAGACAATCACATCATCGGTGAACAATAATTTTCATCCTCTTTTCTTCTACCCACTCTCCTCTTTTTATTTCATGGCCTAGAACCTCCTTCCCACCGTTGAAATAGCATCAAGATGGCGACCTGCTTACATTCTTTCCAGCCTTTGATGTGAAGGCCCCTATTTTTTCACTGTTGCCCGTGGTGTTGACTCTAGGGTGTGCATTCACGTTCCGACATTTATTGAAGTAGTATACCACATCCAGTTTACTAGGAGTTCTGGGGAAGAATGTTTACTAAATTTTAAGTCAAATTCCTGTTGGCATCTGTCAAAATGACCCTATAGCTTCAGCTTGTTTTGCTTCTTACTGTCAAATTACACAGCTCCGCCCGTAGTTCTAATCCAAGACCCCTCGTGACTTTTATTTCTTAAGCTTCTCGTGAATGTTTTTACTTCTAAATTTTTTAGCACTGGTATTCACCATAACTTTTCACCCTAATTGTCATCAAAGATAAAATAAACAGAAGAAAATCTAACCTTCCAGTGGATACCAACAAATTAAGTGCTCTCTAGCTACAAGATTAGAGCAATCTCCCAGAGAATAATCTTACAAATCAATAACCTAAGTATGTTATTTTATCCTGTGCATGGTTGACCTTCCAGATATATCTGATTTCCTCTTGACATTGAAAAGTATTAGCTTGCTCTCCTTTCTCTATCCTGTGCTCCTTTTAAAAGAAATCTTCTGTAATCCCACTGTAGTTTCACTCAGTATTTATTCAGCGTAAACATTTTGAGCACCTGCTGTTTATCATACTATGATGGAATCTGGGGAAACAGGTGACATGAACACAGTCCTTCCCCTCCAAAATTAGGTCCATTATTGGAGGTTGGGGCCCACAAGGGGAGCTCAGGTACGTAGACAAGAAAATCACAGTAACAAAGGGGTATGGTAAGTTCTTCAATAAAGGTATGAAGAATATATCTAGGAGGCATGGAGGGGTGCAGAATTCTGCCCTGGGGTGTCTGGCAGAGGGATGAGGGGCCACTTCCCTGAATGCTGCCACTCAATTGAGTGGATGTCACTTGAGATGACCGGCTTATCTGCTACTCCACAAATGCTAGAAGGATAGCTATCCTTTCGCCCCTGTAGCACTGAAATAATCCTCCCCATTGTTTTTCAATAAAGCCAAACCATAGTGACTTCATAAGTAGGCTGATCGTAAATCCCAGTTTATCCAGGGTTGTCCCACTTTGCACGTATTGTCCCCGCGTAATTGTCACGTAGTGCTCCCTTTCATTCTCAGAAGTGCCCCAGCTTGGACAAGCAAAGACAAGGCACTCGGCTACTCCTCTTCTTCCCAACCCTCACCAATCAAATTTCAGTCAACAAAACTTCACAGAGGAACTGAGCGTTCAAGGTAGATAATAATTATTAGTAGCAACTTTTCTTTTATTTCAAATTAAATCATACTTCTATTTTTATAAATGTAATATATTATAAAAGTAAATAGACTGCAGGGCTTATAATAAAAAAACAATCCCTCGCCTCAGTCCTCTCTGCCCTGTTTTCTGCCCCAGGAGCAATCTGTTCTAACTCTTAGCGATTACTTCTTACATTTACCACCGTGTTTCTAAATAATATGCTATTTCTTGATTTTAGCAATTCATATCTTCTGTTGACTTGTGTTATGGAATGAATTGTGTCCCCTAAAATTTACATGTTGACGTCCTAGCTGCCAATGGGACTGTACTTAGAGACAGGGCCTTCATGCAAGTAATTTAATTAAGGTTAAATGAGGTCATAAGGCTGGGGTCCCATCTTACAGGATTAATGTCCTTATAAGAGGAAGAGAGGCCGGAGCAGTCAATCGGAGCACGCTCAGAGGAGAGGCCATGTGAGGACACAGTGGCAAGGTTGCTGTCCTCAGGCCAAGCAGGAACTGGATTGGCCCACACCTTGATCTGGGACTTCCCAGTCTCCAGGACTGTGAGAAGGGCATGCCTGTTGTTTAAGCCAATCAGTCTGTGGTATTTTGTTACGGCAGCCCAAGCGCACTAAGACAACTTCCTACTGTGAAGAAGAGACCTTAGCTTCTCCTACAAGCTCCCTCCACACACACACACCACACACACACACACCACACACACCACACAAACACACACCACACACACACACCACACACACACCTCACACACACCTCACATACACTTCACATACACCTCACACACACCACACACACACCTCACATATACATACCACACACACACCTCACACACACCTCACACACACCACACACACACACACACCACACATACCTTACATACACCTCACACACACTCACATAGCACACATACTTCACACACCTCACATACACCTCACACACACTCACACACACCCCTAACACACGTGGCCCTGAAGAAGACTTATGCCACCACCGTCCTCACATGAAGGGCTTTATGGTCATCAGCTGGCTTCCTCGGCCCTGGTGAAGCCAGTTCATGTGGCCGTTTAAGTTCTCTTCGGGACTCCTTAAGCTCAGCTTCTGTAGATAAAATATCTTTATGACGCGGATTCACTGCCCCTTTCATCCAGTAACACTCTGAGAGAGGCAGTGAAAGCGATTTTTAAAACTGTATGGGGCACTGTTCAAATATAAGCACTGTTGTTGTTATCAATAGTAACATAGTGAAAACCTGCATAAAACTTTTCAATAATGTCATCGAGACACTACTCTCAGGACCTTTAGTCATTAGATCTCAGGCTGCATTTCCAACTCTACAGCATTCAGCTAAGGAAATGCTCTCAGTCCTGGTCTCCAGGTCACACGGCAGGAAGGACTCACTCCATGTGTTAAATGAACGGATGAGCAGGTCCACCGAAGGCCTGATTCCTGCTAGCTCACCCTTCTCATACTGCAGTGGCCACATAAATTCTGAATGGCACCAGGTTTTACCTTTTTACATATTTTAAGGCATTATATTCCCATGGGAACAGTAGATTTCTTCTCAAGCGAAGAAATTAAATGCCCCGCAAACTCAGTATAATCCTAACTTCAGAACTTTTCAGCAGTAGAGGCATTACAGAATATTATTTTGCTGCACTACGTCAATGTTACATGGATACAAATGACTTTTTTACTAAATTCATTCATTCATTCAGAAAATATTTATTGAGTACCTCCTACATTCCAGGCGCTAAAAGTAGTGGATAAAAGTAATAGCTAACATTTATAGAGTGCTTACTATATTCTATATTGTTACATAAATTAACTCATTTAATTCTCACCATAATCATACGAGAGAGCTACTATCATGATTCCCATGTTACAGATGAGAAAAGGGAGGCACAGAGTCAATAAGTAACTTGATTAGTCTATACCAGTGGTTCTCAAGCAGGGGTGAATTTGCCCTCACCCCACCCTCAAGGGACAGTTGGTAATGTCTCATGACTGGTGGTAATGGGCAGCCGTAAAGCCTAGGGATGCTGCTAAACATCCTGCAATGCGCAGAATGGCCCCACAAGAAAGAATAACCCAGTCTAAAATATCCATAGTATTGCTATTAAGAAGCCTGCATCTACACCAATCAGAATATAGCATTCTTCTGGCAACTGCTTTTGGGCCAGTGATGGACACATGACTTATTCTGGCCTAATCAGACTAAAGGAGAGGGCTTTGAAGACAGTCTACTTTCATTCATTCTCTCCTGC